GTATTTTCTTTTATAAATATACTCAAACTTATTCAGCGCTACCTGGATGAAATTGTAACTGCTGATAAATTATTTAATTTAAAGAGATTAACAATATCTCATAAAGAGACTAGAATAGTTAGAAGATTAGACAGATTGATCAATCTAAAATACTTGAACTTATCAAATGGGGTAATTCAGAGAATTGAAAACTTAGATACACAAAAAAATTTAAAAAAATTGATACTAAGACGTAACACAATCCCAAAAATAGAGAATCTAGACCATTTGGTCAATCTAGAGTATTTGGATTTATCACGTAATTGGTTAATTAAGAAAATTGAAAATTTAGATGGGTTGATAAATTTAAAAAACTTAGAACTATCACATACAAAAATTGTGAAGATTGAAAATTTAGATGCTTTGGTTAATCTTACAGAGCTTGACTTGTCTAGCAATTGCATCAACAAAGTTGAAGGATTGTCGAAATTAACCAAATTGAATAAATTAAATCTCAGTCAGAATTATATTAATGAGTTTCCTTATTTTTCAAATTTGATTTATTTAACTAGATTAAACTTGGTGGATCAGATTTCCAAAATTTAAACTTAAAAATATAGAAAAATTAAAATATTTAAAAGTTCTCAAATTGAATGATAATATAATTGATCAAATAGAAATTGACAGGGCACGAGGATTAATTGATGATAATTTGAATTTTTCTAACAATTAACCAGTTTCAGTATTGTAAGCAGTTTATTGAAAACGGTTGTCGAGTTTTTTTAAAACTTGGGACATTTTTCTCAAACATTTTTGGCAATTTGAGGTTATGTTTCCAACAACACAAACATCGCTAATAGCTTAGGAGAAGTCTTCTATCTGTTTGTGCTTTACAATTTACATAACACATAGATTCTATTGACAATAATCAAAACATTTCAAACAATAAAAGCAAAATGATGATTAAATAAAAACACAAAACGGAATTTTTTTATCAACATCGTGATTACTTTGAGGAACGAGACCTTGGAGATTCGCAGACATATCCAGTTCTGGTGTATTATTTTTATTCAAACGAAACAAACGGAGGATAATTGTTAGTTTATATGAATTTGGATTGTTCATGAGAATACAACTTTTATATTTGAGTGGAATCGAGAACCAAAACCATAGAGATGGGTTGCATACTTTTTAGATACACATGTCTGTAGGCATATGCATGCAGCATCTGCGCAGTACAACTCAACATGCAGAGACCCTTCCAAAAATTGTTATTACGAGCATTTGCTGAACTGGAAATGTATATGAATATATATATAAATATGTATTTTTGTAAAGTTTACAGAATATTGGCTATCAAAATATTAGAATCCCAAGCCGATTCTACTACACTCAAGCAACAGTAAAGCTGTTCGAATAAAAATCATCTGGTTCTTGGATGTTCTTAATATAATCCAAATCTAGCATATGATAGGGCTGTTTTAAATCAGACCATCCTAAAAATGGATTACTAGCAATAAACCCCAACGTTTTCAATGTTTCAAATTTCAATGATCGATAATAATCAAGATCCGTTCCAACTTGAATGTTTTCTTCTTGTCTGTTGACTCCCAATGTCATGAACAAAATAGTTAGAATTCGATACTCATCTTTTGTCACATTAGCCGAACCGCCGTGGTAGCATGAAGCCAACATAAAAAAACAATCGCCCTTTTCCATCTCAGCATGAACACAGTCTTCGTCTCTTGGTCTTGCAAAATGTCCCCATTTGTGAGACCCTGGAATAAATCTGGTGGTGCCGTTTTTCTTGGTGGCTTTATCTGATAGACATAAAACTGTACCAAGAGCTGAGTCTGATCCATATTCATATTTGTCCATTGATTTTTTGATTTGGTGATGAATCATGTCATCTCTGTGTAGAACTTGGTTTTTCGCTCCCGGTCCAATACTGAATGTAATACACGAGTTGTGTTGAGGGCTTGAATATCCAGTCACAATCTTGTCGCCAATCCAGAATGCATTTTCTCTACCCAAAAATTTATTCGACACATCAACATTCAACGGATGATTCATAAACGACTCAGCGCATGTTTTGGATTTAATACACATCCCAGTAACTCTTTTGGTTTCTGGTGGAAAAAAATGTCCATCCCAATCTTTATCTTCTTTGATTCTGGGTGCAATGTCTTTCAAAATTTGATCGCAAGTGTCTTTTGAAAGATAATTTTTCACAACACAACCACCGTACATCTCTAACTTTTCAGCAATTTTCTCAGATGTGACTGGCTCAGAGACCGTCAAATCTTCTAAAGTACATTTGATAGCAACATCCCTCTCATCGACCTCAGGTGGTTCAACCAAAATTTCATTTCCATTTTTGTAAAATTTGAGCTTTTTAACACTATTCGAAGGCACTGAAAAAAGTTTGGATGGTGAAATATATTCCCTTTCAGCAACAGCAGCCATATCTGCTCAACAATTCAGAACTATTCAATGATTCTTGATAATTCAATAATCAGTTTGATTAAATAATTTCATGGATTTCATGGATTTCATAGCTCAGTAGGCCAGTTTGGTTGTCATTTATATAGTATTTTGAGGCTCATTCAACTGGTTTATTATCTGATCAATTAATAAGAACTCGGTTGATGTTTCTGCACCACCAAGTTCAGCGAAATAAACGAGTGACTTTGGTTGTTTTAGCGATTTTTTCTGTGAATTTGCATTTTTTTTTATCTCGCAAACACTTCTCCAACAGTTTTGACCAATAAAATCTCAACAATTATTCATTTAATAGTATAATAACTGCGGATTTGCTTTTTGGAGTGGTGATAGAAAACCAATCAAAATGCGGCTATGTACACTGCTTTAAGTTATTTTAGCCGCGATAAGGATTTTGGATTTTCCATTGATAACAACTCCAAAACTCATTTCTTTAGTCTGACTTTATTTGATAGGTTTATCTGATATTATCTGATATTATCTGGTTTTATCTGGTTTTATTTAGTTTTATCTGGTTTTATTTAGTTTTATTGGTATTATACCTGTCTTCAAGTTATATCATAGTCTCATTTGTTTATCAGTATGCTGCTTCAATTGGGCACTCAATAATTATATATAAGTCTATCAACTTTATCATTTCCGAAACTTTAATCGATTTTTAATTTCTGCACAACTTTCAAAGATAACAAGCCCAATATGAAATAAAATGGTATTAATACTGCAAAAATTATCTGTTTTGGTCTCACACTGAATAAAATAAAACAAAAGACAAAACTGATAATTCGATACAATACATCAAAATGGAAAAGGTCGATGTTGTCATCTCGCAAAAAGAAGTCACCCAAGAGGGTTATGTTTCTGATTTGAAAAAAAACTTCTCCAGATTGTCCTTGTTGGGTGTGAGCTTTGGTCTAGCAAACTCATGGTTTGGTGTTTCTGCTTCATTGTCCATTGGCATTGCCTCTGGAGGTCCTCTATTGATTGTGTATGGATTGATAATTGTTTTTTTCTTCAGTCTCTGTGTTGCTGCCACATTGAGTGAATTGATCTCTGCCTATCCAAACTCTGGTGGCCAATACTACTGGACATTTAAACTAGCCCCAGCCAAATACAAAAGGTTTCTTTCGTTTGCTTGTGGAACAGTGGGCTGGATTGGCTCGATCTTTACAAGTGCTTCTATCACACTAACTGTCTCAACAGCAATTGTTGCAACGTACAGTTTAAACAACCCGAATTACGAAATAGAAACCTGGCACATTTTTCTAACTTTTGAATTGTTCAATGTGTTTGTTACATTGTTTAATTTATGGAGCAAGCCGCTACCAACCTTCACCACAATTGCACTATGTGGATCGTTGACAGCCTTTACTGTATCTTTGATAACATGTCTTTCGTGTTCCTCTGGCAGTTTTGAATCTGCTTCTTTTGTGTTCAAAGACTTCACCAACGGCACAGGCTGGTCGACTGCAGGTATAGCTTTCATTGTTGGTCTAGTTAACCCTACATGGTGTTTTGCCGGAATTGATGCTTCCACTCATTTGAGTGAGGAGGTGCATCAGCCAGAAAGAAAAATCCCCTTTACTCTTATGACTACTGTTTGCCTAGGATTTTCAACAGCATTTGTTTACTGCGTGAGCATGTTTTTTTGCATCACTGATAGAGAATCAGTGGTCAACTCAGCATTGCCTATTCTTGAAATCTTTTATCAAGCCACTGGGAGCAAAGCCGGTGCTATTGTGTTGGAGTCATTGCTAATCTTCAATGGTTTGTTTTGCAACATTTCGAGCAACACATGGCAAAGTCGATTGTGCTGGTCTTTTTCTCGTGACAGAGGTATTCCAGGCTCAAGATGGTGGTCTCGAGTCCATCCCAATTTGAAATCTCCAATCAATGCTCACATCATGTCTAACTGCTGGGTTGCTGTTATTGGCTGTATTTATATGGGCTCCACAACTGCCTATAATGCCATTATAACCGCTTGCATTTTGCTTCTTTACATATCCTATTCAATTCCCACTGTCTGTTTATTAATTTATGGAAGAAACAACATTCCTCGTGGCCCATTTTTTCTTGGTAAGCTTGGGCTAGTGTGCAACGTATTGACACTTATCTGGACCTTGTTCTGTTTTATTTTCTATGCATTTCCTTCCACAATGCCCGTAGAAGCTTCATCCATGAACTACGTTGCTTGTGTATATGTTGGTGTTTTCATTTACATCGTCACATATTGGTTTCTTAGAGGAAAGAGAACTTTTGTTTTTCCAGAAGAAAGGGAAACCAGAATTTACATAACACAGTCACCCAAAGAACAGTTTGTTTGAATCGGCTTTTGCAGCTTCTTCGGTTCAACAAGCTTGTTTCTTAATTTTTGACTTTTCAATTATTCTTTTCTTCTCTCTTCCCCCTCCCCCCCACCTTTTTTTTTTTTTTTCACATTTGATTATAGACATTTAATATTCGCGTTTTCTATTCCTTCTGCTCTTTCTATTCTTTCTGCTCTTTCTGCTCTTTCTGTGCTTTTAAATGATAATAAATTCCACTCCAGACTCTAGCCATTCCTTTCCTTGCAATACGCTTTCCCATGATGTTTGACTGTCCCAAATGTTTTGTAATATTCTTTTTAATGTCTTCACATTACCAACTTTGAACACAAAATAGATTTGATCCAAAAAATCAATGATAACTTTTTGATATTCACTGTTCTTATTGCATTCACATCCAATTGTAGAAATCACCCAAACCATTTGAATTGTCGTCACATTTGGATGTTGGAGCTGTTTCAAAATGTCAAAAAACTCCACAACCAAGTTGCAAATAATGATCTTATAATTTTCAATCTTTGTTGCATTTAGCAATGAAATGTGGATTGCAATTGTCCAACATTTCACTACTTTTAAACTCAATAACGATTCACTGCTATAGCGTTTCAATGGCATATAATCTCTATAATTTACAAGTCTTTGCTTTATGTCATTATAGAATTCCATTTTTTCCACCTTATTATAACGATTGTTGCCATTGTTGCCATTGTTGCCATTGTCGCCATTGTTGCCATTTTTAATATGAGTGAGTTCGTGTTTGAGCACTGCTATTTTGCTGATGCATTCTATTATTTCGGCTGGACATCCCATGATCTCAAAGATTGTATTATCTCCCGGATCGTTAAACTCCATCCAATTGACCTCGAATAGTGGAAGTCGACAATCTGCAGACGTTATAGCCATTAGTGCGTCTGTGTATTTTAGTTGGTATACCAATTTTTTCGACGCTTGTATTATTTCATAGTTCTCATTGTTTTTGTTCACCACTTCATGTTTTAAATTCTGCGATATAATCGATCCAACCCTCAAAAACACCCTCGAAATCGATGCTCTACCAGAGTCCAAACATGACCCTAGCAAAAATACATATACTAGCAATAGTATTGAGTATTTGTTTATTTGCTCCAAATTCTTTTTCTCATCGGTGTTTAGCAAATTTTTCATCGAATTGAAATAAAGAACCTTGCTAGGCACCTTGTGGCAGCTAACATCGTAATCCGAATGAAGCAAATCGGGATATTGGTTGATGTACTGAAACAAGTATTCCACTATCTTGTCAATGTAATAAGCACCCTTTGCATTCAACTCCAAATGAATGTATGATAGAGCCATGATACAACATTTGGCTAGTTCAAAATCCCCATGCTTCAAAATCACCTGTGTCCACTTTAACGTCGGCTGAACCTCGCAAATTTTCGAGGAGAACTCAAAAAAGTTTTTCAAAATGAAATTTTCCTCGTCTTGAGTGGTTTGCAAATCAATACAGTATTCTTCTAAAAACGATCCTATTGGAATGATGGGCAAAACAAATCGATTCAACCCATCAAAATTTAAATTTAAATCTTTAACATCTGCCTTCTCACCATTTGCACTTGCCCCCATCTTGACACCATCAGCTTTTGCACCGCTTTCACCATCATTATTATCAACGTCACCAGCATCATCACCAGCGTCAGCATCAGCATCAGCATCAGCATCAGCTTCTAGCTTGTCGTGACGTTGAAACTTATACCTTCTTGCAAATCCTTCGCATTGTCTTTTCGATTTTTTGCAGTTGTTGCAGAATGGCTGGGTCTCATCGCATTTTTTTTTCCTCTTCTTGCAAGTCAAACAGCCGTTTCTGCTTCTCTTGAACTTTGTCTTTCTGTGTGTTTCTTTATCAACTTTGCTCCTCATTGCTCGGCTTTCCATTGCTCGGGTCCATTGATGCAAGAAATAACAATGGCGATTTCATTGGAGCATCTGCGACAGGCTGTTGATGAGAAGAACTGATAAGCAGGAGGTTGGATGCACGCTCATAACAAACAAACAAACAAACAACAGCGTGGGGTTGCGAGCATATCTTGCTCATTCTATATCTGTATCGTTAGTCTAGCTCTACGCCTCTTGGTTGATGTGGAGAGGGTTGGAGGACTGTTCTGTTGTGGAGCACAGGCTCCTTCCCAAGCATCTTGAAGACCCAGCCAACACAGCTCTCTGTGGATTGAATATTCAGCATCCAATACATCAGTGAAGAGATATGGTTGCAGCTTCATCCACAAACATGCGCGGTAGCTGCGGGTATGCATATACTACCGTGATGGTGGATCTCAGTCAGTGTGTGCGTGTGCGTGTGTGCGTGTGTGCGTGATGGTGCCGGAATATCTGTATCTGCTGCAGACTGCACACGGATACAACTATCGCATCATCATGCATGTCTATTTTCAAATACTTTGCTTTCCTTATTCTAGATTTGTTTGTATATATCTTGAATCTATTGTATAATAAAGTGCAACACATAGCATGGCTTTGTAACAAATGATCCGGAATACAATCATCTATATCAACAAACACCAATGTATATATATATATACATATATATACATATACAAATACTTATTATTTCATATGCCAACCTTGTTCTATAGTGAACATAAATTAACATACAAACAACAATTGTCATTAGATACAAAGAGGACCACATACATGAATTATATTTAAAATCATTCAACAGCTATATTTACCTATTTTAAATTTACTTGATTTTAAATGCTTGAATTCTAAATAACTAGATTTATAGAAACAAAATTTATGTTATATTTAATTAATATAGCCTGAATAATTTTGAGCAAACACTAAAATTTGACAAAACCTGCCATAGAATGATATGGTTATTTAGTAACAATTAATGAATTTTTTGATATAATTATACATTTTGCTATGGCTATGAGGAAAAATAGCTTCACTACTTAGTGAGCTGTTAAAAAGATTTTTAATTCATTTTTGAAGAATTTTCATTGAGTTTTTTCTTATTGAACCATAATTCTAACAATATTCTGGTTTTTGTTTATCGGTTTTGTGTCAATTTTTAAAGGGTATTTGAATATTTGCTTTTATTTGTAGATTTTAGCTTTAAAATTGATTCAATTAATCGATTAAAAAATAGGTTCTCTAGTACAAAAATCCCAATGTACATAAATCAAAAATTCAAGACAATCTTTTGTGAATATATACTGAGTTAACAACCCAGCCATTCAATGAAATCTAGTGTCATAGATATTTTTTAATAACAATTTTGGCTATATCTTGGTACTGCTTATTCATTTTTTTGATACTATTTCTATTTTCTGGTATAAAAGACTATGTGTTTAAGTATTTTTACTGCTGTTTTGATATTTTACCTATTATCAGCTGGATGAATGCTTTGTTACTATTTTTTAGGTTTAAATAATTCGGTTGATATTAGATATATGTTTTATATATCTCTATCCTAATGAATATTGTGGATATTAGCCTGTTATCCAAAACCAGATTTCAAGAATTTTCATCCTTCGAAAGAGTTTAAATGATGAGAATGTGAAACTTCATTTCTGTATTTTTGTTGTTAGCTTGCATATTTAAGTTGCATGCATCAAACTGCAGAGATTATGTTGACATGCATGGGAAATTGTTTTGACAGATTGACAATAAATCCAGCTCAGAATTTTATTTTTTCTGTGGAACCTCTGATACTGTAAATAAATCTGACGGCACAGTATGCGGTGATTTAACTAACGGGAATATGTGTAGTATATTTCATTTTTAAAAATAATTGCGTTTTTAAAAAATGTTTGAGAATATATCTTCAAGTTTTTTAAAAATTTTGACGTTGATTGTTTCACATTTGTAGAACAGAGATAGTTAAATTATTGCGAATTTTAGAAGTCAAGAACGTTGGCATTGAGAAATAATAAAGAATGTTGAGTGGATATTGAAGTAAATATAATTAACATTTATAATTAAAGCGAATAAAAGATAAAAATAATAAAGTGAGACTTTTAGTAGTTCAATTTGAAATTTTTATATTTTTAAATTTATAAATTTATAAAATCCAGCAAAGTTGTAGAAGCTGTAGAAAAACAAGAATACCAATTATTTATAAGTGTATAAAATTTAGTGACAAATTATATTTTATTGTTTGGATTATTTATTTATTTTAAATAAATAAACAATTAAAAGTCCATAATTATGACTATCATACAAGGAGCTGTATTGAAATGCGAGATTTCGTAACTTTTGTTATTTACGATGCGTTTTATTTAAAATAAATACTATAAAAGAAAAATTGGAAAGGAAAAAAAAAAGCAAAGATGAAACGATTATTGAGATAATTTTTTAATCTCATAATGAGATTCAGCTAAATTATTTGAAACGTCTAGGAATAAATAATATTCTTCATTTATAGAATCAATTAAACTTTGGAGGCTATTATTGTTAAGTAGATGGTTGTTTTTCCACTGAACATTTTGGTAGTTTTTGTTGTTAATATTTTTAGATAAAATTCGGTTTTTTGAGTTGTTATTTTGTGGATTTTGGTTATTTTGGTTTTGATTATTTTGGTCGATTTGGTTATTAATTAATAGTAGTCTATTTGTATTATCTTCTAGATCATTAAAAGATAATTCGATATCGTTTAGTAAAGTGTTTAAGGTGTTATATTTGAGCTTGAATTCAATTAATTTATCTTGAAAGAATTTATATAGGGATTTTGTTGAATTTTTGTTATTTTTTGAGATTAAATTTTGATTATTGATGGTGTTGTTAGGATTGGAATTGGCAGTGGTTGTAGTTGTGTTTTTGTTAGGATTGTTGTTGTTAATATTTGGAGTAGGATTATTCATTAGATTTGACAATTTTTCTAAGTTGTCTAATATTTGTTTTGGGTTTGAGGAGTCAGATAAAGTGATGTTAATATTTTGGTTATTTTGGTCATTTTGAATTTGTTGGTTATTATTTTGGTTAATATTTTGAGTAGTATTTTGGTTGTTGTTGAGATTTAGGATTGATACAATATTTTCGCAAGTTTGAATTAAAGATAGGGATTTTTTTTTCAAGTCGTTCAAGCAGTTTTTGTCATTATTTAGGGAGTTGTTGATTGAGTTTAAATTGATTGATAAGAAGTTGATATCGTTTGGGATTGACTTAATTAGATTATGGTGAATGGATTTATTTTTGATGAGAGATTCGTAAACTTTAAACTGGTCATTAATTAAATCATTCAACTGTTGAATTTCGTTTTGATATGGAGTTGGTAAATCGCTGACTCTTGTTAATAGAGTTATAACAGGCAATTGGTTGTTGATGCTAGTGGTGTTATTGTTGGTGGTCAAATTGTTGCTTAGGTTATTAGAAACAGTGGAGTTGATGATATTTGTATTATCAGTATTAGAAATAGAATTAGAATTAGTATTTGGGTTGGGGTTTGTGTTTGAAATAGGATTTATATTTGTATTTAGATTTGTATTTGTATTTGTATTTGTAATGGGGTAGGAGAAAAGGTTATTGGTTGGCTTAAAAGCAAAGGCATTGCCGGTGTTATTGTTATTATTAGCAGTGGGAGTAATTGTGATGTTGGTATTAAAAGGAGTAAAATTAAGTTTTTTTGTTGGATTAGGATTGAAAAGATTATTATTTTGATTTTGATTTTGATTTTGATTATTGGTATTGGTGTTGAAGCCAGTGGGATTGCCAAACAAGTTTGAGGTGGGAGCTGGGGTTGGATTGAAGCTGATGTTCCTCTTCAAAGGATTATTAGCATCAGAGTTATTGTTGGTACCAAAGTTGAACATTTGCAAAGGCAGCGGGAATTCTAATTCAAACGACAGTAGATGGAATGTTTAGATGGTGAAAGATTGAAAGTATTATTGTTGATTCATTTGTTTTGTTGGAGAAAAAAAAAGAAAATAGAAAAGCAGGGGGCATGTGACGGTGCGAGACCGGCATTATGGGTTGAGGTCTGTTTAATTTTTTTTTCGCAAATACAACCGTGGCAGTGGTTGGCGACAACCATACACATTGCCTGCGCCTCTATGCAGAAACCTTTGGTTGCTTTTCTACTCGATTAGTTTCAAATGTGACGGGGGCACTGGTTGTGGATAATTAAGGTTCTGCGAGGAATCATTGATTGTTCAGATTGTTTTTCGGTGCGTGAGTTTCTTTTTCAGCGCTGGCAAATATTGGAGAGGTTTCTTCAGAGCTGCTGGATTAGGAACAGCCGACAGAAAGTGAGTAGCGGATGGAGAAAGCTCAGAGAAAACGCGGCAAGGGTGGCAAGAGTGGCGAGGGCCGTGAAGGTTGAGGTCCAGAAACTTATAAAAAGCAGAACTCCTGACTTGCTAGGATAGCGAAAAATAGCAGGAAGTGTTAATGAATAGAGAAGGGAAAGAGTGCAAAGGAGATATTCGAGTAAACTTTAGCAGAGGTTGGTAGCGAAGCATTGGTGAGTGCAGTATAATTAGAAGCATTTTCCCAACCACACCGTTATCGTTGAAGTATAAATCCCTTCCTGGATCCAGCAGCTCGAGCAAGAGGTGCAAAATTCATTTGGAGACTTGGGTCACGCTCCGTTTTCCCCAAGCAGAACGAGAAAAAGCCCGCGCTCGGACACAGTGCGGTTCCCGATTGCAAAGGGGCGTGGTGGACGCGGCGATTGGCTGGACGGGTGCGCACCCGAGCCTGGCACAGAGTGGGAAGAAGACGGTGAGAACGAGCGCCGCAGCGCACGCGCGTGTGCGTGTGCGGGGTGCTTCAAAACCCGGTTTCCTCCCGCACGCAAAACCAGGCGCTGGCGATGGCGGCCAAACCGCGGCGGTTGTGTGTTTCCACAACCACGGGAGACGGAGGGCATGCTGTGATTGGCCCGCGGCGTGTGACCACGGAGACGGAAGGCTGCAGCAGACCCGTGGTAACGAGACCCGCACCAGGGAGGTGGATGAGGCCTGGGTCTGGGCATCGATGAAAAATATTGGCGAAACATTGGCGAGACGCAAAGACGTTTGGATTTTCTCAGCGAGCATTTCAGAAGATTTTGCAGGTGAAGAAAAAGCGAGAGCGTTGAAATTGTCAGGCCTTAAAGAACGAGCAAAAAGGTGTAGTTTGAGCTGATCTCCAAAGCTCGAGTAATCTCAAACAGTTTAACATATTTTTCAACTCCATTCTCAACTCCAGCTCCAACCTCTGGCCATTCACTGCACTGCTAATAATAAAGCCAATAAAGCTCATAACACTAACAACACTAACAACCAACAAACACAACAAAAACAAAGCTCTGCTTCCTCTTTTTTCCCCCAGAACAGAAACTGCAATTTGGGCTTGGATCATCTTCCACTTTTCTTATTGTCTCTCTTCCACTTTTTCATTATAAATACTTCTCTTGGTCCGTATATTCTTTTTCTTTATTCGAGTTCTTTAGCTTTTATCAGATCTATTCTTTAACGAATATTCTTTTATCCTCAGCAACTCTTATAATCTTCAAGATATTTCCTGCTACTGGATAATATTTTTTAATATTTTTTAATATTTTATAACTTTCTATAATATTCAGTAATACTCCATAAGCTCTTTCAGCTACCATCCAGACTATCTTCTCTTTCTTTCTGCCAATTTCACCACTCACACTTGTTAACACTACTTTTCCTATAAATTTGATATAAATTATTATACATTTTTAATTTTATCGTTTTTTTTTTCCCTTTTCTTCTTTTTACTTCTTTTCATTCTCGCACCACAGTATCTTCATCCTTTTTTAGACTTACAATTCTTCTCAATTTTCACTGCTTCTCACTAATATTCATTCAAAATGACTGTCTCTTCTGACTTTATCTCGTCTCATCCTGACACTACTTCTCCATCTGTTATTCTCAACTCTTCATCTCTTTCTCCCTCTATTTCCAGAAAAGACTTGTTCAACCAAATTGAATCCTTCAACTCAAGCACATCGAATACCGCCAAATTTAAAGAAATCTTCAACCAGTTTGCTACCAAAAATCAAAAAAATCAAAAAATTCTCAACTACTCTAATTTCATCTCAATTTTATCTCAACCAATCCAAAATTTAGACTTGTACTCAAATTCAATCGACCTATTAGACTCCTCAACCATATCAAACCTAGACAAGATGAACTTCAAAAACAGTTATCACGACTTTATCAAATCCCACAACCACATTCACAAAAACAACAACTCTAACGACAACATTAAAAACACCGAAAACTTGAAAAACGACTTGCTCTTGAACAAAAACCTATTACTAAAACAAAACAAACTCTTTGGCTTACTTTTCATCATAGCTGATCAAAACTTAAAAGGTTACCTCAGCGAAGACGACTTTATCAATTTCTCTAAAACTCTCTACTCCAACGACTCCCAATATAAACTAATCTTTGAATTTTTCAAAAGATTCCAACTAAACTCCTCCAAATCAAAAAATTTAGACCTAATTCAGTTCAACAAAACGTTAAATGACCTCCACCAATACACAAGCTCAAACAATATCGACGACGACTTTTTAATCGACATAAACAAATTTGCCTCATACTACCTCGATTCAATCAACTCAAATGAGCTCTCCTTCTCGTCTTTTAACAACATTCTTGTCAATGAACTATCAAACCAGAAAATCACTCAACTATTCAACAAATTCAAAACAAACCACAACCTCGTCTCTCTAAACAATCTATCCAAAATCATTCAACTAACATACAGCCACAAACTATCCACTCTTTTAATTCAAAACTTATCAATCTTAAAAGACTTTAACCAATTCACAACAAAATCTAATAACGATTACTACATCAACTACTCAAACTTGAAAATATTGACCAATTTATTCAACAAATTCGATCTAGTCAACCAAATCATTCACCAAATCCAAACAGATAATGAAATTATAACAAAAAGGGACTTCAACAAAGTCATCGACTTAAGCTTCAACAAATTGAACAACCTAACTTCCTTCACTCCAAATGAAGTCGACCTATTATTCTACTTGATCAAATCAAACTCATATTCAAACGACTATGACCATCTCACTAAAAATGACTTTTACAAAATCTTAAACCCAAACCATTACAACAACTTGCTTTTCAACTACAAACTACACAACCTAGAAAATTTCAACGAGCTTGAAAACGAAATCAACCCCAACTCAATCTCAAACTCTCTCGACCCAGATGACGAAATCAACGTTGGTATAAAATTATCCTCCTCAAAATTCATCCAGTCTCTTGAACCTTACTTTCAAAAATTAACTCACTTAAGAAACATTGATGCATTCTCCTTCTACCCAATTTTCGACTCAATGTACTTATTCGTCTTAGGTTCCATCGCTGGTATCATCGGCGCAACCATGGTTTATCCTATCGACTTGGTCAAAACAAGAATGCAAAACCAAAGAACCCGATTATACAAAAACTCAATTGACTGTTTTGTTAAAATAATAACCAAAGAAGGCCCAAGAGGTTTATATCAAGGTCTAGGCCCTCAATTAGTCGGTGTCGCTCCTGAAAAGGCCATCAAATTAACTGTCAACGATTTAGTCAGAGATCTTTCCAAAAAGTTCACTGGGAAGGATAACATCCCCCTCCCTTTTGAAATTTTGTCTGGTGGTTGTGCCGGTTTCTCTCAGGTTATTTTTACAAATCCTCTTGAAATTGTTAAAATCAGATTACAAGTTCAAGGTGAATCCATTGCCCAAGCCACCATGGCTGCTGCTGCTGCTGCAACAACCGAAGGGGCTGCTTCTGTTATCATTCCCATTAGAAAATCTGCCATTCAAATTATCAAAGAACTAGGTTTCAGGGGTTTATATAAAGGTGCTTCTGCTTGTTTATTAAGAGATGTTCCATTTAGTGGTATTTATTTTCCTGCTTATGCCCATATCAAGAAGGACTTTTTTGGTCTAGATGTTAATGATCCAACCAAGAAAAATGAATTGAAAACATGGGAGTTGTTGGCTGCTGGTGCAATGGCCGGTATGCCTGCTGCTTATTTTACAACTCCAGCTGATGTTGTTAAAACCAGGTTACAAGTTGAAGCCAGAAAGGGCGAAACTGTCTATAATGGTATTATTGACGCTTTTAGAAAAATTGTTAGAGATGAAGGCTTTACAAGTTTGTTCAAAGGTGGTCCAGCAAGAATTTTCAGATCTTCTCCTCAGTTCGGTTTCACTTTGGCTTCATATGAAGTGTTGCAAAGACTCTTCCCATTAAAACACAGTGATGAATATGAAAAATATCTTGAGAAAAAGAATACCTCTAGCGCTGGTTTAGCTGACTACTCTCAATTCATCAATCCTTCTGTTCAAGAAAAAGAAGTTGAATATTTACAAGCTTCAAATAACTCTCAAAATGGTCTTTTTGTTCCATCAACCTACTATTACAAGAGTGCTGAAACTATCAAATTATTGTTGGATGTTGATTATAATTTTAACAAGTTTGATTTTAGTGTTTACCAAAAATTCCAAAAGAACTACTCCAAGGCCTAATTGATAGATCACTTGAACTTGATAAAGAGCTATAAATTATAAAAATACTATATTCAGTATTCTGCTGAATTTTTTATTCAACTGTTTTATTTTTTTTCAGTTTTTCTATTATTGTTTTAATTGTCATGAATATGTTTTTTTGTTTTTAAATTATACATTAATAAATTTTTTTTGATTATGATTTTGTTTAAAAAATTTAATTTTTAAATATTAACTATATATTCTCAAAGTACCAGTGTAAAATGAAAATCATTTGATTGCTTCAAACATCTGGCAGATGCCAAAAGCGGAATATCTCAGAACTCATGTTGATGTTGATTTACTTGCATGTGCATGCAGAAACAGAAAATATCAAACAATTCAAAATTTCCAAATTATTTAAAAACAGTTTTGAAGTTAGATAAAAGAATAAAGATTATTTGGAAAAAAGTAACAAATGCTGTAATAATGACTGAAAAAAAAGAATATTTAAGGGTTTATAAGTGTTAATATAGTTTTATAATACTTTTATAATCACGATTAATACATTATCTTAAAAGCTTAAACTTTGATTCAACGGGTTAGTAAGTTTTATTGTATATTAAAAATTGAAATAATTTTCGGTCTTCAGTCAACTATTTTAGCACATATGTTAATTCAAATATTATTGAATTCAAAAAATGTTTATTAAAGAAGTTTTTGAAACCAAAAACTCTTAGCCCACTTGTCTTGGCACATAGAATCTCATAATATTACAAATCCTTCGAAACCAGTAGATAATATTAAGTTATTGAAATTTACACCCTTGAATCAACATTTTTCTTTTATTGAAACCTATTTGATTTGTTTGGGATAATAAAAAATAGTCAAAATTTTGATAATTATTTACAAAGCAAACATATTTTCAAGCTATAATTGTATATTGAGTACCTATTTTTTATCAAAACAATAATAAATTATTAAGTTGCTTGTTGTTTCTAATTACTTGAAGTCTTGATTAAAATTGAATGAAACCATTCAATTAATTAAAATTTGATCCCAGTATTTGTTTTGTTTCAATAAATTTTTTTATTTCTTAATCATAATTTTAATTTCAAAAAATTGAAGAATGTCCGCTTTCATTAATGAAAAGTTGTTTTATTATTATGAGGATTTAAAACATAGTTTATTTATACATTTAAAATTATTTTAGAATTGAATTTTGATAATACGTTTTTAGTAATACATTTTTGATGATACCATTCCTATTGCAAATTAAATTATTTGATCAATGGTTTTTAATACTAATTCATTGACACTTATTACATGAGCATAATAGCAAATAATTTAAGCTTGATCATCACATTCATTTCATTTTAAGATACTTAAATAAGCTTATTTATTACAAATTTTATCAGTTAATTTGACTGAAATACTATTGTTTATTAGTTGTTACAATCAGCTATAATATATGAAATCTAAATAATATATGAAGTTTAAGGAATATTTAAGATAAAAACTAACCCAATATGTTAATTATTTGATTATTTTGATAACCAGCAACTTTTATAAATATTCAATTCTTCATCAGTGCTATTTTACCTATAAAATTCTTATGGAAGCTGATAATTAATGAATAAAGTTCTAGGATGAAAAATTATTAATATAATTTGTGGCTTTAATGATAAATATAAAAATTAGCTCTAGATTGCAAAAGGCTAGATCATAAACAGAAATTTTTTGTGTTAAAATTTTCAAGCTGAACAATATAAATACTACTATTAAAATGATATCTAGCAACCAGCTAATGATGTTATATGTTATATGAATCAAAAAAAGACATTTTAATATAAAACCTACAAGAAAAATTCTCAGTTTCAGTTGGATTAATAAGAGTAAAAAGTATAATAGCTTGAACAATTCGAAGCAAGTATTATTTATTTATGCTAATAAACCTGTAGATTATTAATGAAGCGATTGCGTGTTGAGAGTGTCAGAATAAATTAAAGCTAGATAACAAACAATAGTACCACATGGATGACAAAATAGCGAATGATGGACACATTGAATATAGAACAGAATATATAAGTGATTATAACCCATGTGGTCCTCTTTGTATCTAATGACAATTGTTGTTTGTATGTTAATTTATGTTCACTATAGAACAAGGTTGGCATATGAAATAATAAGTATTTG